GTGGTTCCCTGGTCATTTGTCCTGGAAGCTGCGCGGCTCTTGCAAGGACGACACACAACTACGTTTAATACGAACGAAGTCTTCCGGCCACTGCTCATGTCACATGTCCCTGGTCGACCCGGGGAAACCCCATGTAACGGTGTTCAGACTACCGAAACGGGGAATAGAGCACTGCCCCTCCCACCCTTCCCCCCCTGGCTCCCCCACTGGCTCCCCTCCCTTCCTGGCTTCCCTCCCCTGTCTCCCTCCCTCCGCCCAGCCTGAAGGCTTGCAGCTGCTCGAAGTCAACGTACTGGGGGAGGCACTCCAAGGGCGGCCCCAGCTCGCACGTGCCAGAGGCCGGAGGCCTGACCGACACGCAGCCTGGGCCAGGAGTCCCCACTGGAGGAGGGAGGCGGAAGAGGTAGGTGAGGGGACGAGGTGGGTGACAAAAACCCACTTACAGGCTTACTCCCCGTATTGTTGCGAATATGGTATGGGTTGGTAGCAAGGCTCCCCCCCCCCAAAGCAAGGTCATTCCCTCCCACTCGACACGAATCGATCAAGCGAAGAATTGCATTGGCATTGGCATGTGTATACATATGCAGTTATTTAGTCACGTATAAATATAGAAACGATCGTAATCACGACCTGGCTTGTCCACCTGTGGAGGGCGTCCAAAGCAAAGCATTCGCACAAACATCGTGCACTCGAGCTCCCCAGAGATGGGATGGCAGCGTGCCCAGCCTGCATCGAGCTGCGAGCCTCTCTGCTCTGCTAGAGCCGCTGCCTGTTGATCAGCTTCCTGCGCCATCCACGAAAAATTGTAGCCTTCGAACCCCCACTTGGAGGCAACCCCAAGCGCCTCCGTGTCCAACATCGAGAGACTCCGAGTCAGAAGGGGTCGTGCAATACAGCCCACGCATATAGGGCACGGCGGGATCAAACCGTGCAACCTCAGCGCTTCATCCAAGGGTGGGCAGGGAGCGAAAACAAATCCTAGATCAGAATGAGGGGGCCGAACGGTCATTCACTGTCCCCGGGTGCGTGGCTGCAGTGGGACTCCGCGGTGCGGGTTGTTGTTGTTGGTGATGTTGTTGTTGCTGTTGGTTGTTTATTGTTCGTTGTCGTCGTCCATCCCGCGACCTGGCCCGCGACTCACCCGCGATCCACCCGGGAACCAGCCCGCGACCCACCCCGCGACCCACCTGCGACCCACCCGCGACCCACCCACTTGCATTGACGAAAAATTCGGCGCCTGCGGCGGGCTCGTTGTACCATTTGATTTAGTGTCGGCGCCTGCGGCAGGCTTCTTCAGAGCCTCGGCTGCCGACGACCCCGCCGCCCCCTCATTGTGATCCGCAACTGCGGGGTGCTATGCAAAACGCATAATTAATGAAAGAGTAGCGCCATGCGACTTTGCGCGCAACGCTCTCACTCAACCGCAAATAGAAAACACATTTCACCCGCCCGCGAGCGTAATCGCAACCGCAACCGCACCTAGAGGACACCTTTCACCCCGCCCGCGGGCGCAGCCGCAACCGCAACCTCACCTAAAAAACACAATTCAATCCGCCCGCGGGCACAACCGCAACCGCGACCGCAACCGCATTCGCAACCGGAAATAGAGGACAAATTTCAACCCGCCCGCGTGCGCGACCGCAACCGCAACGGCAACTAAAAAACACATTTCAACCCGCCCGCGGGCGCAACCGCATTCGCAACCGCAACTAGAAGACACATTTCAACCCGCCCGCAAGCGCAACCGCAACCGCAACTAAAAGACACATTTCACCCGGGCCCGCGGGCGCAACCGCAACCGCAACCGCACCTAAGAAACACCTTTCACCGCGCCCGCGGACGCAACCGCAACCGAAACCGCAACTAAAAGACACATTTCACCCGGCCCGCGGGCGCAACCGCAACAGCAACTAAAGAACACAATTCAACCCGCCCACAGGTGCAACCGCAACCGCAACTGGAAGACACATTTCTACCCGCTCGCGGGGACAACCGCAACCGCAACTAAAGAACACATTTCAACCCGCCCACGGGCGCAACCGCAACCGCAACTGGAGGATACATTTCTACCCGCCCGCGGGCGCAACCGCAACCGCAACTAAAAGACACATTTTACCCCGCTCGCGGGCGCAACCGCAACCGCAACCGCAACTTTCACCCCGCCCGCGGACGCAACCGCAACCGAAACCGCACCTAAACGACACCTTTCACCCCGCCCGCGGGCGCAACCGCAACCGCAACCGCACCTAGAGAACACACTCCAACCCGCGCGCAACCGCAACCGCAACCGCAACTAGAAGACACATTTCAACCCGCCCGCGGGCGCAACCGCAACCGAAACCGCAACTAGAAAACACATTTCAACCCGCCCGCGGGAGCAACCACAACCGCAAGCGCAACTGGAGGACACATTTCAACCCGCCCGCGGGCGCAACCGCAACCGCAACTAGAGAATACATTACAATCCGCCCGCCGGCGCAACCGCAACCGCAATCGCAACTAGAGGACACAGGTCAACCCGCCCGGGCCGATGAGGTGGACGAGGAGAAAGATGAGGAGGAGGAGGAGAACGCGATTCTCAGCCGGGACATCGCAGCGAGGAATCCCCATTCAACGCTGCTGCCTCTGATTGTCGTTGTTGAATTTTCACTACTGGAGAATAATTATTGTTGACACCCCCTCCAGGGCATGCGGTGTTTTTCCATTGAAATGCCTTTCTCGGGGCTCGCACCCTGTTCTAAAACCAAAAAAGTTTTGGGTATCAGAAATGTGTCTGTGGCCACCGGTTTACAACAACAGCGGCACCCGCCTAATACTTCCTCAAAATGTGTTCCAAATCGCGCTCTCGCGCGGGATTGCCTCACAATGTATTCAGGAATCGCGCTCTCGCGTGAGACTCCCATCCGTCCTCTCTTCCCTTGCCCCTTAGGCGCTGCACGAAATACACAATGCAGGCAAGGAAGATATACTCGCAAGGGGGTACGGTTGAAGGCGAAACATGCGTGTATCGATGGTTGGGGATACGCGTGTTGGATGGCTCGCGAGCAGATGAGAGCGAACAGTCTTACAATGAGTATTGTTATTACTTGTGGTGCGGCTGAGATTTCCCTTTTAAGTAATATATATCATAGATCTCCCCAGGCACGGTAAACATCGCAGTTTTAATATTAAAGTGGTCGTCCCAGGGCTCACGCCCTGTTTCTTTACAGAGGGCTGGGTGTCAACAAGCTGGCCCCCTGGCCCTTGACTTACAACAACAACGACTACCGCCTGATACTCCCTCACAAGTTATGTCAAAATCGTGCTCTCACGCGGGACATCCTTACGATGTATGCGGGAATCGCGCTCTCGCATGGGGCGTCCTCGCAATGTATTGATACACCGCGCCCTCGACACTCAGGAATAACGCTCTCGCTGTGCATTGCCGCACGATGCGTTTGGGAATCGCGCTGTCGCTCGAGACTTCCTCGCAATTCCTGCAGGACGCACGCTTCAGCAACCCGCCTGCTCGATCTGGCCGCCTGGGCCCGCCTTAAGACCCGACTGTTAGCGTCTAGCCCGTCCTATCTCCCCGTCTGGTTCTGCCACGTACGTTCTGCTCCTGCTACTATCTCTCGTGCTCCATCCTTCTCCCTCGCCCTTGTCCCTTCCTTCCATCCGTCCTCTCTTCCCCTGCCTTAGGGGCTGCGCGAAGTACACGTTCCAAGTAAGAAAGATATACCCCCCGCGGGGGCACGATCGAAGACGAAAAAGGCGGGTATCGAGAGTTTGGGGTATACGTGTTGAATGGCCCGCGAGCAGATGAGAACGAACACTGTTAAAATGAGTGTTAGTGTTGCTGATGCTGTGGTTGTTTTTGCTGTTGCTGTCTGTTCTGTGTTGTCGTCCCTCCTGCGACCCAGCCCGCGACCCAAACCGCGACCCACCCGCGACCCTGCCCGCGACCCACCCCGCGACTCACCCGCGACCCACCCGTGACCCACCCGCGACCCACCCGCGACCCACCCACTTGCTATGTAAATCGCACTCGATTGGTCTCACAATCGATCAGTCGATCTCCCCCAGCATATCAATACCACTACCGCTCTGTCCAGTATACATAGCACCCCGCAGTTGCGCGTAAGAGCGGGGGGGGCGGCGGGAGCGTCGGCAGCCTGCGAGGCTCTGAAGAAGCTTGCTGCAGGCGCCGACACAAAATCATACAACGAGCCCGCCGGAGAAGCCGACGTTTTCGTCAAATCAAGTGGGTGGGTCGCGGGTGGGTGGCGGGGTGGGTGGTGGGGTGGGTGGCGGGGTGGGTGGCGGGTGGGTCGCGGGTGGGTCGCGGGTGGCTCGCGGGTGGCTCGCGGGCCATGTCGCGGGAGGGACGACGACAACGAACAATAACAACAACAACGACAACAACAACAACAACAGCAACAACAACATCAACAATAGCAACAACTATAACAATAACAATAACAACAACAATAACATCAACAACAACAGCAGCAACAACAGCAGCATCAACAACAACCACAACAACGACTACAACTACAACAATCCGCACCGCGGAATCTCACTTCAGCCACGAAGCCATGGACAATGACTGACCGCTCGGCCCCCTCACTCTGACCTATATCTTGGCCTCGCCATCCATTGGCCGACCTCAATACCAAGAGATCTTCCGATCTCACGAACTATCTACGTATCTACTGGTCTAACTACTCATCCGTCTCACAACAAAAACATTGCCACGGGACAACCACAAAACAACCACAGGACAACCACCGGACACCATCGGGACAACCTCGGGGCAACCACGGCACAACCGCGCGACAACACGGGAGAACAGAAGGAAAACCGCGGGGCAATCGTGAATTAACCGATTCGTAAGACCACCGCGCGACAACCACGAGACCACTGCGGGACAACTGCGGAACGACCCGGGGCAGCCACAGAGGAACCCTCGGGACACCAGCCGAACAACCACGGTGCCATGGGACAACTCCAGGACAACCCACAGGCGCGCACACGGTGGCTGTCCTCCAGAGTGGCTATCGCCTCCTCTCCATCCTCCTCCCTGAACCCCCACGACGAAATCGCGTGCGGGGCCACGGGGGATCTGAAGCACATGAAATTCGGAAAACCCTTACAGGTAGAGCTGCACCGAGGAAACACCGAGAGGCATTGCGGGGGGTCCCGATCCGCCTGTCCCTGGCCCTTGCCCTGATCATCCCCTTTGCACCTTGCTGATGCCCACACTCCGAATGCAGCTCTTAGTAGTGACCGTGGCCTACAGTGGGCACAACGCTCGCCTCACAAGCATAGAAACGACACACCAATCAGTAACAACCGTTTGCGGAACCAACACGTCCGTACACCACACCTGGATCCCACGAGTCGGTTTGACTTCTGCATGGCCGTATGCTTCCCTGATCAATGCAACTGACCTGAACGTCCTTTCTGGATGAGCTGGTGGGGATATCTGTTTGATTCGCGGCCCGCAAGGAAAAGTCCAGAGTCCAGGTGGGGATACGCGGAAGGCCAATAATTGGCTGGGATAGGGAGGAAAGGAACGGACAACGCACAGCTCGGTTCAGGTGAAGCTGGCATGACAACAACGTCACGCATAGGTTCAACGCCTCGGCAGCCTATGCGTGGCTATGCGAGGGGGAAGATGCCTAAGAAATTGGATAGCGATCGGCTGGCTACAAGTGTAAGCCATCGGTCCAAAGCAACGGTAATTCATCCCACAGGTTCGGCGGTGAGGCGAAAGGCCACCCAGACGAACACCAAGCAAGAAAGTGGGGT